TGGACTATGTACTCTGTGTTGACTATAGAGGTTCGCTTTCTTTTCCCGTCCCTAAAAGTAAGTCTAATCCCTATCCTCCTTAAACATTCTCACTCACCTTCTATGCAATATGAGTTTGGCAGCGATCAGTGAAGTTCGCCTCAAGGTATTACGTCGTACAATGATAGTGATGATGTGCGGCTCACATGTAACGTTTGCCATTCGTACGTCGGAGGTTTTTGGTCTGGAGCACAGAACGTAAGCGGTGTCGACGAGTTCCACGAGAAAAAAATAAACGGTTGTCCCGTGTTGTTTACCGGCCACACACTTATATCCATGGCCCTAAGTTGATGCGATCAAGATGACAAGAGGAATTAGAATCTTTAACTAGAGGCTTGCCATGTCCGGTAGGGACATTACTTCAGGCTTTGGTCCCCAGGCAGCAGTTTCAGTTTCAGTTCGAACAACCATTAACCATGCACTTTCGTGCGCCGGTTTGGGTTGCTGTCTTTCGGCTACCCATTTGGATGAAGAAGAGGAGAAGAAGGGAAAGCTGAAAGTGGAGTCAAACAGAAAATGGAGAAGTTCAGTGGTCTAAGGTTGCAAAGAAGTAGAGGACATGCACGAACGTCACTGTTTACGACACCCAGCCATATCGCTGAGTGTCTCTAACCATCGGTTACGATCATCCCGAGGTCCCCAGCCAGGGAGCCTAACAGGACGTATGTGACCTAGCCTCCTGGTTAGGGTTTTCATACCCTCGTGCCAGGTCTTAGCTTGACCACCCTTGGCTTTACCTGCTTAGGGTTTTCATACCCTCGTGCCAGGTCTTAACTTGACCACCCTTGGCTTTTTCTACTCTGTATCTTCTTCGGACCATCATCCCGAGGTCCCCAGCCAGGGAGCCTAACAAGACCTATGTGACCCAGTTTCCTGGTGAGGTCCCCAGCCAGGGAGCCTAACGGGGCCTATGTGACCTAGTCTCCTGGTTAGGGTTTCCAGGTCTTAACTTGAGCACCCTTGGCTTTTTTCCACTCGGTATCTGCTTCAGCGAACATCGTTCGCCGTGGTAACCTACCTGGTGACATGCGTAACACATGTCCCAGCCAATGTAATTTATGGAGATCGACCACTTCCTCCAGTGGGCGACCGTATTTACCCAAAACTCTGCCCCTAACCTCAGCATTGCTCATCCGGCTACCCCACCAGACACGTGCAATGCTGCGTAGACAGCGGTGTTCAAACACCGACAATCTATCTTTATCTTGTTTTCTTATTGGCCAAGTTTCTGCACCGTAAAACAAAACTGGCCGAACTGTCGCGGCATACACTCGACCCTTCACAGACAGCCGGATGTCGCGACGGCGCCACAGATGTCTCAAGTTGGCAAATGCCAATCGAGCCTTTTGTATGCGCGCCGACACTTCATCCGTGATGTGTCCACCGGTGAGATGTAGCTGCCCAAGTAACAAAACTTATCCACCTGCTCTATT